TTCCGTAGGGACGGACAGCTCAGAGCAGGAGGGAGTGGCTCTCTACGCAAGCTCCCGTTTGAAGGCGAGGGTGGTTAGCGATACTGCCTTAACCCAGCTATCTATGGTGCTACTTCACTCTCCACTGTACGGAACATCTCCAATTATGTATAGGTCCCTCCACCAGTTCCCTTACACATTAGGAAATGGTCATCAAGGCGATCTTAACGACTTCCTCTGCAAACTGCCGTTCCGTAGTCATTGTTGGCGACTTTAACACCCCGTTCATCCTCTTCAAAACGGAAGGGAGACACATCAGGTCCCTCAATCAGAAGCTGAAGAATGCAACTAAGACTGCTAGCCTCTCAGAGAAAGTGGGTGATGCCACACGCTGGAGACCTAACGGAAACGCTTTGCGTCTTGACTACGCTCTGATGAACGACGACCTTCTCATTGAGGATGTATGCATCCAACCTCCCCTTGACCTCAGTGACCACGTAGTAATAGCCCTCCCCATGATCACCAAGGAGGCCCTTGCAACTGGAGACGCCCAACACCTCTTGCTACAGCAAGGCCAACTACGGGACCATGAGGGACTATCTCATGAATGCATCATGCCCGGTAGACCGAACTCATCTCACAATAGATGAACACTGGTTGCAGGTGAAGGAACTAATCGCTGGGGCCATTGGTCACAGTGTGCCAGAGGTAACACACAGACTGTCGGTGAGAACCTCGTGGCTGAAGCATGGGACGAATAGGCTTATCCATAGTAAGAAGCAGGCTTGGTCAAGTGGCGTTCATCACGCAGGGAGTCTGCCTTTTTGAACTACAATGGGATTCGCAACCGCTGTAACATTAGAGTGCGTAGCTACAGATTCTCCTATCAAACAAACCCGGAGGAGAGGTTACAAAGCAATCCCAACAACCTGTATCGCATCGTGTCGAGAAGGAAGTCGACCAGTAAGGCAGTGAATGTTATCACAGGTCATGATGGGAGTGTACTAAGCAGTCTAGAGATTGCCGAGCTCTTGAGCTCACACTTTCAAGCCCAACTTGGAACCGACACTAAATCCACACCGACTCGTTACGATACCAACCAAGTCATAGACAACGAATACCTCTGCCACACCCCAGTCACAGAGAAAAAAGTGCTCGAGAAACTATCTGGGCTACGTGCAGGCAAGTCCCCTGTCTGCGATAGCCTAAACCGATGATCCTAAAAACTGTGCGAGGTGCTGCGAAACCAGCCTGCAGCCTCCTTAAGCACTCGACAGAGTCGTGCAAACTCCCTGAGAAATGGAAGTGCGCCGTCTTGTCACCCATCTGTACGGGGGAGACAGAAGGAGCGCTGGCAGCTACAAGCCAGTTGCTCTACTCCTTATTGTATCAAAAGTGTTAGAAAACCTGTAGCTGACACTACCTGGAAATTCCTCAGTAGGGAAGACGCTGTGCATACTGCTCAGCATGGTTTTCGGAGTGGTCACTCATGTGCCACCAACACACTAACCGCCTGAGACGACTGAACACTGAGCTAGGATAACAGAAAACCGGTACACATTGTATTTCTCGACCCAGCTAAAGCATTTGACAGTGTTCCGCCCACAGTCCTGCCTCACAAGATCATGTCAGCTGGCATACGTGGACCCTTACTCTCTTGGTTGAAAGAGTACCTGCAGGGGAGGCATTTCTGCATCAAAGTAAACAGAATAAGGTCAGAGTGGAGACCCTCGACGTCAGGAGTATCCCAGGGAGCGATCCTGGGACCATTTCTCTTCCTCCTGTTTGTCAACGATCTACTACACAAAATATCCTCACCCATCCTCCTCTTCGCTGATGACATAAAACTTTGGAGGGTGGTGAGCGAAGAAGCTGACTGTACAGCACTACGAGATGACTTGCAGCAACTCGAACCATGGTAGTCGGAGAATGGCCTGAGCTTCAACCCGGAAAAGTGCAGAGTTATGCACGACCAACTTCAGTACATGTTGAGCAACCGTGCTATCACCAGAGTGTCCACAGGGAAATATTTGGGGCTCAACTTCTCCGACGCCTTGAACACCAGTTCCAACTGCGAAGGCATGACAGCCAGAGTGAACGCCATTCTGCACTTTCTGTGGTAGACAGCTTGGCGCCCTCACTCCCGAACTCTTCCTCATCATTTTCGAATCATACGTGCGGCCACATCTAGAAGTCTTCAATACGGTGGCTCTTCCAACACTCATGAGAGTCTCTAATCTCCTTGAATAAATACAAAGAACTGCAACGAAATGAGTTGTGGGGCTAAGGGGAAGGACGTGTCCTGAAAGACTTAAAGAGTTAAACCTATTTACCTTGGGTTATCGTAGGAAGTGGGGTGACCTTACTATGGCGTACGAGATCGTCCATCAGGCAGATCACGCAAACAAATTAATTTTGCCCGCAGCTCAGCGGTCTTTATGAGGAAACCCCATTTGGATGGCACGCCAGAGGGCCGACACCATTCACGGGTCCAAATTTTTCTGTCTAAGAGTATGTGCTTTATGGAATCACTTACCGTGATATATCGTTATAGCTCCCTCAGTTGACTCATTCAAGAAACGGCTAGACAGTTATGTCACCTTGCATGGTCCACCACGGAGGTATTCAGGTAGTCACCAACCTCACTAGCCCACCTTCACCTCCGTCCTACCTACCGCTCACTATCTTGCTGCTTTATACACCCACACTACCCACTAATTCTACTGTAGGAACTAAACCCATTCCATCATTCGGGCAATTCCCACATACTTTCCTGTCTCTTTTGTCTCCCTTTTTCACCCCTCCTTTTCCTCTCCTTTCTCCTTCTTTTCCCTTCCTTCTTCCTGATCCTTTTCAATTTTTTTACCGTCGTCTTGCACTTCTCTTTCAGGTGCCTACACAGATAGGAGTCAATATAGTCCCCTGACCTCCCTAGCCACCCGTGGCTCCCCAATCACTCTACAAGTTACAACTTACTAATCCACAAAACATCCGCCTCACGGAGGCCAAAAGCAAGAAAGCAGAGGGGATTTCCGCGTCTACTGCAGGAGTAAAGCGAACAACTCGAACCGAGCCCTAAGAACTAGACGCAAGAGCTCGGAAACTATCGGTTTTCGGGGCTGGCACTATCATTATTGGATATAGGACAATACTTTTACTGAATATTGACCTCCCAATACTAAATTCGAAAGGCCAGGAGAAGGGCATGGCGCATATGGAGACTCTAGAGAACGGGAGAACCATGACGCTTACATGACTCTACGGAATCGAAGCGACACCAGGGTTTAGGGAGACAGGAGGGCGTTCCGGTCCAACCTCGCCAAGAGGCCTGAGGTAAACCCCAAAAGCCCATACCTATTCATGACAAGCAGCATGCGTCATAAAGGGTCCTAATGGAGAAAACTTCTCTGGGCAGGAGATCTCCGAAATGTTGAGGACCATGTTTGACACACAGCTCAATATTCCATCGGGAAAGTACGCATACAGACCTCCTGAACAGCCCTCAACGTTACCCGACGCTGTGGAGTTACAGGAAATACAGATAACCCGCGCTGTTGTTCTCGGCAAGCTATCAAAACCAAGCGTAGGAAAATCCCCAGGGTGCGAGGGCATCCGCCCATCCGTGTTGAAAGGATTTGCGAGTACCCTAAGTGGCCCACTCTGCAATCTCTTCTGGCACTTTTTGGATGAACCAAAGCTCCCACAATAGTTGGAACGGGCCGTTCTTTCTCCCATATTCAAGGGAGGAGACGGGCAGAATCCTAACTTATGGACCCATAGCACTTCTACCAGCCATTTCAAAAGTCGTGGAAAGTGTGGTGGACGACCGAATCTGGAAATATCTGGACAAGAAACAAGCACTCAGTGACGCTCGACATGGCTTCCGGAAGGGTAGGTCCTGTGCCTTCAACCTCCTGACAACCCACGATCACTGGACAGCATACTGGGATCTCAAAGTCCCGGTCCACGCAATTTTTCTGGCCCTCGCCGAAGTATTTGACACCGTCCTACACACCATCCTAATACATAAGATAGGTGGGTTAGGTATACGCAGCAGGGTGTTATCGTGGCTGCAGAACTACTCAGACAATGGGGAGTTCTACACGAAAGTCAAAAGGGTCTGCTCATCCGGTGTCTCACAAGGAGCAATCCTGGGTCCACTGTTGTTCCTGCTGTTCGTGAATGACCTGCCGCTACATATCTGGTCTCCGATTCTCCTATACGCTGATGACGTCAAGTTATGGAGGATAATAACTTGTCAAGCAGAACACTAGAGGGATAGGGAACTAATAACGGTGATGGCACTTACCTGGATAAGTGCCGGTCCAAATTTTTCCGCACTCCTGATCCGCAGAAAGTATCCCACTATCTTCGTGGTTTATGTCTGTGCCATACCATAGCAGAAAAAGATCTGGGTTTAACGGTGACGGAGAAACTGGACACCGGTTCCAATTATCCAGGTGGTGTTTCGAAAGTAAAGGGTGTGCTACACTTTGTGCGTAGACAACTAGGTGCCCTAACACACCACTTGCCATGAGTTAGCCTCACTTACCTAAGTTCTTCATATCTTTGCACCCCTCCGCCTTGGGTGTAAGTACATTACACCATTAGTTCACTTTCTTTTCCCCTTCTACTCACATAATTTCACCTTTCTAGGTTTTCTCTTCACTATCCCTAACCCTCTGTAGCCACCCGTCCGAACAACTATCTGGCAACTCGACATCTGAAGAAGCCAACTGCACCACAGTCCAAGGCAAACAAACCAACACTTAACTTCCTGTTCTGTAAATCAGAGCTATAGCAGACCAGTGGCTGGATCTACTGCATTGGGATCCGCAAAAGATCTAGAACCGTTCTGCAAGACCAAGAAGCGAGCGAGAAGAAATCAACTGGTTTACACAAGCTCGTTAGAAAGATATTGGATATTGAACATCAGGGTCGTTGTTGCTGAGACTTGGTTATCGGAGTAAGTATTATTATTATTTGTGCATCTGGCTGTATCTTGCCAGCCGTTGTTTTTTTTGTTTGCAGGCTCACTTCATTGGTAAGCCGCTTTAATTACTTGCTACCCTTAGAGACTTTTTAAGTGTTTGTCGTATAGGTATGCACTTCAAGCGGATTTAGATGAACTAGTGGGTTGGTCCAAACGTTGGTGTCTAGGAACCAACTCTAATAAGAACGCAATAATGCACATTGGTCGTAGCAATTTTTTCTAGTATGCCGTTGGTCTCACACCACTACTCCCAGTTTTTGAACTGAATGACATGGGTATCATCATTAGTCATAATTTGGTAGCCTCGCCAAACTGTAATGCAGATGCAGCAGAGGGCTTCCACGTATTATGGTCCATCCGCAGAGCTGTCAAGGGTTTTCATCACGACATGTTTGGAATACTTTCGTTAGATCTCACTTGGAATACTGCATTCAGGCGGCCAGCCCATGTCTAGAAAAGAATGCTGACGTATTCAAGCGTGCTCATAGGGTAAGTACTAAGCTGGTAGCATGCCTTTGAATCTGTCATATAAGGAGCGACTAGATCAGTTAAACTTATTCCCACTGTCTTACCGTAAGAAACAGGGTGATCTTATACTGGCATTTCGTATCCTTAATAATGACTCCGGTACTGATAAGTCCTATCTTTTCTCCTCTTTTAGGATTGACTATCTCCATGGACATCACAAGAAAATTCGAAGATCGCGATCGAATCAAATTGGCGTGAATCTGTGTTTCTCCCATCTTACAGTCAACGTCTCGGACTCCTTACCTCAGCAAGTAGTATTAGCACCTGTCAACGCGTTCATAGGGAAACTAGATCTTCACAGAGATATCTTCTGCAAGGATTAACACGGGCCAACTGGCCTATTATCCTCACAGCTGGAAACTGAAACTTAGTCTTAGTCCCCCAAGATCTTAAACCCTACTATGACAAATATACTATCCGCAGAAATCTTACACTTGTAACGCTGCATAGTGTCTTTGAACAGTTCGATTACACTTGCTTCCACTAAATCCTCAGTGGTTTCGTATGGTCTCACCTAGAATTCGGGAGTCTCGTACGAAAGACATCTTCCCTCCACTACTGAAAGGAAACAAATCAGAACGCATTCGAACGCGCTTCCTTGAGTCCGTTCGTGGATTTACGGGATGTTCATGGTAGCAGTGAATCTGTGTCCCTTGGAATATAGACTACTGAGAAGTGATCTAATAACAGCATGTAACATTTCACACATTTCACTTGGCCCACCGGTTGCTTAAGCTAAGCTCTAATGCAAATCTTAAGTGGTGGTGGGCTAGACACCCGGAAATTTAGAACTTGAACACAGTGGGACAGAAGTCAAGCGTAACTTCTGCTTCCTAAGAGTTTCTGGGGCCACACCAGTGGGAGCTTCAGACGCAAACGTGATGTCCACTTAGTGTCAGTGTGAATCTACAGATAGTCGCTTATAACCCGGTCTTTTTTACTTGGTAATTTTGTTGTATGTCTGTACTTAAGTTATCAGACAGAAACTAATAGTCCACTGGTTCCAAACGCAAAATCCATTTAAGCGAAAGCTTCGATCTCGTCAACAACCATCTGAAGGCATTTGAACGACTTGTAAATGACATTTAACACTACTTGAGGAACGGTTTTCTTGGTTGTCAATACACAAACGAAATGAAATCGCAATAGATATGGTTTTTAACGATGCTCAGGGACGTATCTGGGTTTACTACTGTTTGCTACTGTAGCTACAGTAAAGATATTTATCCATGTAAATCCGTAATAATGGTTCCCCTGAACTTTGGTTTGGACGTAAATAAGCCTTCAAGAAATCCCCCATCGCCTCTTAACCATTTAATTATGAACCACTGAGGAGAGATCTGGAAATTTTATGAGAATTAAAAAAATATCAGATTCACAGAGTAGTTACAGAAAATGCAGGCAGATGAAAACCCCCTCAGAACCAGCAAATAGTATGAAATAATAGCGTGATAAGTAATTCCTTTCTACTCAACCAAAATTATCAAGATTGTGACCAAGTCTGTGTGTGGTTATTTAAATCCTTTTAATAATTCAGAACTCCTTAGAACAACTTCAGAGTCACTCAACTAGGTTGGCTAATCCAACGTCATTGGATACTCTTACATGGATGGCAGAACACTGTATTTCCACCAAATATTTCCCCAGTAATTAGGATATTAATTTGGTTGGCCTATACTTATTCTCGCTGTAAACGTCCTTCCGGTGCCTTTTCACTACTGATCCTCACATTTTCCCATTCCCCAAAACTGTTACCTGGGGTGTCTTAGTCAACAGAGTCCGACAAATTCTCACTGCCCACGCGTCGGATGGTGGTCTAGATCATCATCATCATCATTATCAACATAGGACCAGGCATTACTGCGTAACGGTCCGAGTTGCCACACCTCATATCAGCACATCAAGTAAAAAGGTAGTGAGGCGAAGGATGAAGATAAGTGAATGGTCTAGATGGTTATGTATCTTCCAACTAGAACTAACCCATCTTGGGGGATGCCAATGACCTAGTCAGCATAATTGTACTATCAAGTGGTTTAAACTTGGGACAAATATTACAGTGAAGACGTGAGAAAAACATGGGATAGTGGGGCACTAAATGTAACTTTTCCTCTTACGTGTATTTAGCTCCGTGTTTACCGGACGTTTTCCATGACTTAATTTTCTGCCTATATTCTTCCTACATAAATATATATGTACACGCGTTAATCGACTATGAATAAAAATCTTCAACCTGCTTGTTGCCTACTGTCCTACATACTTTGCTGACGACCGCGTGTATACCCAAAGTTATATCTACCCTAACTAATTTTCCACTCTTACAGTCTCCTATGTACCTTGGTGAGTAATTAGGACAGGTCCACAGAAGCGTAGACATAAGAGGCCCAGGCAGTTATTTCCAAAAGAAATTTATTTGGAAAGTATTTAGTGTTTCAGATATATTTGGTTTAGGCATGGTTAGTCATTACTATCCATAGTGTACACGGTTTCGTTAACTTTAAATGCGTTATCGAAGTCCATAACACAATTTCATTACATCCGTGTTATCCTTTCTTTTAGAAGTTGATTATTACCCTCGTTAAAATTCATCTCTTAGTGCCATCTCCAAAATCTTCATGTGTATTGTGAAGTCAAAACTTGACTGCCTTTTTATGCATTCGGTCGAAGTCAGATACATGCAGGCCTTTGGTCACTGTAACTCTTCATTGCCCATAATAAAGGGATTTAAGACATTATAATGTGATTATAACTCTACAGTACCATCTTGACTCGTGAGTTCCGTATTCCCTTCTTTTCTCGCGTTCCCGCCCAAGACAGCTGTTTTATATATTTTTGATCGACTTTCAACGGTGGTTCATGGGTTTGAACACCGCTCTACTAACCGAGGTTTGGGCAACCAAGTAGTATCATCACCCCTTGCACTAGGTGCGGCTACGTGCCTACTGTACAAATGGGCCAAAGGTAGCTCAGTAGATTTCAGTTTGATATTCTTGATCGAAAACATTGCGCATTGCGTTTTTCACAAAAAGGGACATTATTTGACATTTCGGAATTGATTGGGTAATGAGGCGTTAAGTATGCAGCTCACAGTTATAGGCCTATCTGTTAAGTCCTATTCTCTTAACTTGCTTCCAACTTTGGTGAAGACAAGTGAATTGTTTAGGAGGAAAACAGTATCATCATCTTTCCCTGTCGTCTTGTTTATGCGTAGAGTTTGTTTCAATATTGATGTTAACTTTAATAACTACTCAATTACTTGAATTACAGCAAACTATTATATGAGAGAGCCTTCTGTTTGTTGCAAAAACAACCGGAATCGTGGGAGATGTTGACAGTCACCGTGCCGTGCACGTTAGTAATAGTAGGTGGCCTAAAATGTATTTCACAAATATGAGCAAGCAATGTCTATTTTTTGTTTACAGTTTTTGCTACAACTGTAATGCAACGCTTTCAAAATGACTTAAATTCATCATATCTAGATACATTTGAAACACGTTTGCAATCCCCCTGTTGGAAATGAAAGTGCGGATTTTCTATAGTAAAAGATAAATACTCACCGTCTATGAATTCTCTAGGTCTTTATGGATTCCTTGCGAAGTATAAAATAGTTAAAAACCTTCTACAAAAATTTCATCTTCCTTGAAATTCGTAGTCTGTTTGATCGTGAAAGATGTGGAGGTAGATGAGGTTGTGAACCTTAGTCAATTGGTACGGCTTGAACATGTACTGTGCATCCCGATCCACTACTTGCCTCGACGCGCCATACTCGGGCAAGTTGGATTAGCTTGGAAGAGGGTTCAGGGTGGTCGGACCAAGATACGGCACTAGTCAATGGAGTCTCCGAATGTTGGACTGAGTCGTGTAAAGTGATGCAGACTAGCAGGTTGGGATCTTCAAGAAGAAAGGAATCATTGGTTGAGGACACTTGCTGAAAATCAGTCACGATGGCGCAGGTGTATTCACTCCATAACATCTTCTAAAGCTTGAATATTTGAAGTAATTTTCATCTTCAGATCGTTTGTTCTCTTACACTACTTCATCTATTTTGGTCTGGCTTTTTCTATCCACCTATTCTTTATGTACTATCTTGAACTATGTCAACTTCAGTCGATGCACTCCTGTTCGAGGTTCTAGGCTGATTTTGTCAGTCAGACAGCAGACATTCCCCTGTCTGTATATTTTTGCTGAAGTTAGCCTACAGAAAGATGTGACTCGATGCGGCTTTGCAAATGCTTGGGACTAAACTTTTGGCTGCCGTAGTTATCGGTGGTGGTCAAGTCCATGAATTGACTCACTTGTGCGTCCTAGTCAACACTAACTTCAAGTACTTAAAAACTTCGCGCGTAACCAACGAAATTCTTCAGTCGCTCTTTGGAATGGCTAAAAACATCCTGTGGTCCATAACCTTGTACCCTCTATGCTTACTGATTTTCAAAAAAACGTATTGTATTTCAAGCATGCAAAATAAGTATGTCACTGCCTATTATGCTAATCTGTACACCACTTTCGGTATTAGGATCGATTGTATATTCCCAGCCTCATCGTAGGAAAAAGAGTGATCTCATACTGGCTTTTACTGTTTCTAATAATGACGCAGATACTGAGATCGTATATTTTCTGCCTCTATTGGATAGCTTATCTAAACAGCCATCGATAGGCAACCACAAGAAACAAAAACCCAACGTAAAACGTTGCATACAAGCGCATTGGTTCAAGTCTCCTTATTTCACTATATACAGAGAACAAGTAGATAACTCGAACTGATATCAAGTCACTACAAGAAAGTGCTAAAATCGCGGTCGAATCAATATAGCATGGAAATGTGCTCGAATCACTAACTGACTGACGACGTGAACTCATTACCCCAGCGATCGATATCAGCTACTTGTTGGGTATCGATATCGATGCGTATATCAATTCCAAAAATTGATGCTAGTCAACTGTGCTGCCATCCTTATCAATGA